GGAGAGCGCGCGGAGCCGAGCGCCCACCGCCAACTTTTGACTTTAGGAGTCGCTGAGGTCTCGCCGCGAGGGTCCCGACTGCGCTCGGCTGAGCAACGCCGCCGCCTGCCGTGAGCTGAGCCGCTCGGGCCGCAGGAGGAGCCGGAGGAGCAGGAGGAGGAGGAGGACTGGGGCTCGGCCGCTTGGCCGCATAATGTCCAGCGAACGGGCTGGAGAAGGCGCGGAACGTGCGCTCCGAGGCGCGCTGGGCGCCCTGTGCTGGCGGGGATAGCGGAGCGGCTTCTTGAATGGGGGGCTGGGGGGGCCGCGGGGACTCCGCCGCTCAAATACCCCGGGTGCACGCCTCTAGGAGGAGGAAAGGGGAGGAGAAAACGAGGCGAGCGCGGACCGCCTCCTTCCAGACGGTGTCCCCTCCTCGGCCAGCGGGTGCGGGACTCACAGCTGGAGGCCCTGCCGGCTGCTAGAGGCGGAGGTCAGAGGCTCCGCGAGTGCCGGTGGCGTCCCCGCTGCCTCGCGGAGGTGGGCTTTTCTCAGACACCCTGCCCGGGGGAGCAAGAGCGCAGGAAGTTTCTCCCCTTCCTGGCGCGCGCAGTCGCTTTTCTCTCGTCTCTGTCTCCATTTCGGGTTTCTCTTTTCTCTTCCTCCTCTTGGTCTCTCTGTGCCTCGCTCTTTTCCTCTCTGTCTCTCATTTCTCCTTCCACTGTGCCCCTCAATCTCCATATTTCTTCCCCTCCTTTTCTCTTTCCCACCTTCTTTCTCTCGTCCCTCTCGGTCCCTGCCTTTCCCATCTCTTTCCACCAGCCCTCGTCTTCTCGTTTTCTCCCTTTATAGATTTCTGTCCTGTCTCCTTTTTGGTTTCTTACAAATGAAAGTGGCCCCGGGCAAGAGCGTCTTCTTTTCCTACAGTTTTCTCACGCGGGACAAGATTTGGCACCTGAGCCTCAATCTCAAGAGTTTTATTAATCCTGCGGTTCCGGCCGTATTTCAGATCTACAGCCGCCTCCTAAAAGTTTCGCAGAACTTTTTAGCTGTGCTTTCCCCCAACCCCTACCCCCTTCCGGAGAGGGTCGATAGCTTTCTGCAGGTCCCCGGTCCAAAAAAGGTTAAGAACCGCTCTTGACAGCGAGAGGGGTCGGTGATTTGGGCGCCCCTGACTGCCCCGGGGTTTAGCTATTGCGGGGGGTGGGGTGGGAGCGGAGTGTGAAGGGGGCGTCCTGGACCCCAGGGGCAAGCACCAGTCTCGAGAGGAATTTCTCAATCATTTCCGCTTGCTTTTAGCCTAGGATATGCTTGGATTGGCTCAAAGCAGACACTTGTAAACTACACCTACCTCCGCCTTGGGATGCAAATTTGAAAGTCAGAAGCTATGCCAGAGAGGGCAGATGTGTGTGTGTTAGCAAGTGTGTGTGAGCGAGTGTGTGCGTGTGTGTGAGAGAGAGCGAGTGTGTGATTCAACAGAAGGGAAATGGCAGTTTTCGGTAAAAGAAGTGATTAATAAATGTATATTTACCCAAGTGTCCCGGGATTTTCTGCTACTTTTTAGGTAGCACTCAGAGTTGACAATACCGAAGATTGCCAAAACCAGGAACCAAACAGCAATATGGCTGAAAGTGCTCATTTTTCTGGAAACAACACACGTAAAGGGAGAAAGTGACTTGAGGAGACAGAAATAATAACCCAGATGGATTAGCGTAACGGTTGTCTAACTGGGTCCTGGAATTTCATAACAGGTATATACAGTGTAACCAAAAAAAAAAACCGAAACCAAACCCGCTGCCGTGGAGTCCATTCCAACTTACAGCAACCCTAAAAATGGTCAAATGTAGACATTTAAATCTTTTTCTGAAACCTTCAAAGTAATTCACTAAATTACAATTCCACAATCGTTCTTTTCATTATAAAATACAATTCCTCACAAGTCACAGTGTCTAGGGATTGCTGAGACTTAAGCAAGGAAGGAAAAATGTCAGGGTATCAGTGTGTTAACTGATCCCTGTGGAAAATATTCTATAATGTGTCCACTGCAAAAATTACCAAAAATATAGCACTTCCCAATGTTTTCTGTTAAGCAATTTTCCTCTCTTTCTATTCAAATCCGACCTGATAAAGAGAAGCTAACAGTATGAAAACTATTAAAAGTAGGGACAGAAGCCTCCTTTGAGTTCTCTAACTCCTTGTTTGTTTTCTAAGGACCTGGCCTTAAAAGATGAACTTTGTTAACTATTCTTTAAAACTGCTCTTGATACCGCCCAATCATTTCCAAAAGGGCTGATAGGAAGGGGAGATAATAAGTTTCTCTTGGTGACCTCAGGTGACCTGGGTTTCTGAGTTTCCCGCCCTCAGTTAAGTCCTTGCTTCGGTTTATTAGCTCACCTCTGAAGTATACATCAGTAAACAAGTCCCAGTGAATCTCAGGGAGCTGGGTTTTCTTTAGATCAAGGGCAATGAAAAGGGCAGTTGCGCAAACTAAACCATTCAGGTCAAATCCTCTGTCTGAATAATAACAGGAATAAACTTTTATTATTTACACTTACCTTGTGCCAGGCCATATGCTAATATACAGGGTCTAATTCTCACAAGACGCAGGTAGTATTAAGAATTTCGTTTTATAGATAATGATACCAAGCTGTAAAGGGGAAAAATATGTGACCAGGGTCTCCGAGCTAGTGAGAGACAGGATAAAAATTCTGTTCCGGCAGTTTAGCCCGAACTATTATCATAGATAATGAATAAAAGATTGATCTGAAGTGTTGCTAGCTTTTAGGGACTTTGGTTTGAGGAGAGTGAGTAGAATTATCCAGCGAATTGCCTTAATTGTCTTTTCTACGCAGTTTTTCTTTAGCTCTCGAACTTTTTTCTAATACAGGGTATTTCATGATAATTCTCTTAGCTATTTCATTGATAGTTAACAATTTTTTCCCCAGCACAGGTCTGGCACATAGTAGGTGCTCAAGAAATATTTATTGAATGAATTAGTAAATACAGACCTTACAGTCTGGTTCCCCAGAAATGCCTTGGAAGAAAGGTCTGGCACTCTGCTTCTGAAAGGTCACAGCCATGAAAACCCTATGGGGTGCAGTTCTACTCTGAAACGCATGGGGTCACCTTGAATCAGAATTGACTCGAGGGCGAATGATTTTTTGCAGGTATTTCGGTTCAACTGTGCTAAGTTCTTTATTTTATATATGTATACACACACACATTTTAGAGATTTGTTCTATAAATAGATGCACAGAATTTCCTGGGTCCAGGAGAGAAAAGTAGATTCTGTAATAAACTGGCCCCTCACACAAGTTTGCTCTCAAAGAAACAGAGCTATTTCTGGTCACCTGGAGTTGATGGCAGGAGAGTTGTCATCCTGTCTTCTCCCGGGCTTTGCTGGAATTGAATGTTATTGTGGGTTATGTGGGAGTCTTCTGTGGCTGGTTTTGATTCCAGAGAAGTGATGACTGACATCAGTGACTAGGGAGAGAGAATCTGTAAATGGACATCACGAGCGACATCGCTTGCTGAAGGCTGGTGGAAACGGCAGGAAGGAAATTTGAAGCAAAGCCATCTATTTCACAGAAAGGGAAAGCCCGCACCCAGATGATGGGGAGGGACCAGGAACCAAAATTACAGCCAATAGTTTCCTGAGTGGTAAATAGCGGGTGATTTGTGGAATACTGGGTAGCACTGGGGGAGAAAGATGTGGCAGTTGGCTTCCCTAAAGATTTACAGCCTTGGAAGCCCTCTGGGGCAGTCCTCCTCTCTCCTGTAGGGTCTCTATGAGTCAGAATCAACTCAACGGCAGTGGGTTTGCTCTGGTCTGGGGCAGCCCTGAGAGCTGGTGAAGGAAGCACCCACAAGGATGCTCACGGTGCCGGCCGGGCTCTGGGACCTCAGGCAGTTGAGATCTCTGTTGCAGTTTCTTATCTGCAGAGGAGGGGTGGGGAGAAACTGCGTCTTAGTTTGTACCACGTAGATGAGTACCCTTCTTTCTGAAGGCTTCCAAGCACTGACTTCAAGCAAAATGTCATGTAGAGAAAGTAACTTACACCATTAGTCATGCTAACATGAGACTCTTGGCTGAGTTCTGGCTTTGTGCTGGTCAGTCAGTCCTCACAGCAGGGCTGTCATCTGGGTCTCACTCTCCCCATTTTACATACGATCAAACTAACACTCAGCAAAGGTAAGTGACCTGCCCAGAGTTGCAGTGCTGGAATGTGCAGAGTTGGGATTTGAACTAAGGTCAATCCAGCTCCAAAGCTGGGATCTTCATTAATCAAAGCAGCCTGGTAACGTGCAGATATGCACTTATTTGTTCTTGATAATTCAGCCTTTAGACCTGGCCTGATGAACACGGTCGGTGAGGATGTTATTTTTGTTCTGCTAATTCTAAATCTAAAATTGTCAGTAATTTCTTTTGAGCCTATTCAGAAAGTCATAGTTCCAATTTCTGAGATGGCTCTATAAACCTCATGACCAGCTTATGACAGATCAACAAAGTTTTCCCATCCTTCAGTCTGCTCACTCACCAGGCATTCCCTACTCACTTGTCCTTCCAGAAAGACCACACTTCTGTTCTTGCCCAAGCTTTGGGGCCCCTAACGAATTCCACTAATATTCTCCTTGAGGCCCTTTCCTTTGGGGCCTCAAATCCTTATTAGGCTCCCTCTAGTATTCTGTATAGGAGCCCTGGTGGCACCATGGTTAAGCGCTTAGCTGCTAACCAAGAGGATGGTTGTCTGAACCCACCCAGCGGGTCTACGGGAAGAGACCTGGTGATCTACTTCTATAGAGATTACAGCCTAGGAAACCCTATGGGGCAGTGTGACTCTCACACTGGGTCACTGTGAGTCAGAATGGACTCGACAGCACAACACCAGCAGTATTCTGCAGGGAATGAGG